AAAAGAAAAGTGTTTTCATAATTGTGTCCGGCGGTGTGTTTATTTCTGGCTTTTTTTTATGTTTTAGCCAGTTTTTTTCCCGCCGGACAACATAATAGTAAATAAAAATGGCTTGTCTGCCAAGGTTAAAATAAGATAATATTTTTATTTACTAATTCTCGCCAGCGAAAAGGAAAAATTCTCTCAAAAGGTCTTAATGAAAGTAAGATAATCATTTTCTCCTTGGCTAATTTTATCTAGTTCGGTTTCCAAGGCTGCAGTATAGCCTTCATTTATCAGAGTAGCAAAATTGGCTTGTAATCAATTATTAACCGCAATTCCCAAAGGAGTAGGAATAAATTGTCCTTTTTCGTTCAATTTGGCATAGCCTCTTTTCAACAATACTCGACCGAACAAATTATAAGTAGAAGGGCGACCAATCCCCAATTTTTCCAATTCTTGTACCAAACTGCCTTCGTTATAACGAACAGGTTTATTTTCTTGATATTCTTGGACTTCAATTTTATAGGCTTCTAGTTGGGAAATTCCAGGCACTGCCGGAGACCAAAGAGCAATTAATTCACTCTTTAACTTAACGTTATAATTAGGAAAATAAACTTCCGGGGCCACTGCCAAAAATCCGGCAAATTGACAAATCCTTTCCGTTGTAGCAAAATGATAATTATTATTAAGAAATCGTCAAGTAATTTTGTTAATTTGGGCCGGACTCATTAAACTGGCAAGAGTGTGATTGTATATCAACTTATATAATTTATATTCTTCCTCCGTTAAGGAACTTTTAATTTCTTCTGGCTGGTAATCCAAATAAGTAGGATGAATAGACTCGTGGGCTCCCTGAACATTAAGGGTTTTTTCTTTTTTTTTCCAGGCCGGATTAGTATTAACATAATTAAAACCTCAATTTTTTTTGATATATTGATAGGCTGAACTCGTGAACTCCTGATTAATACGAGTAGCGTCCGTTCGGGGATAGGTAATCAACCCAATTTGTTTTCTTTGGCTACTTATTCAAACCCCCTCGTATAACTTTTGGGCTAATTGCGTGGTTTGAGCCACTGAAAACCCTAATTGTGATTTGGCCTCGAATAATAATAAAGAAGTGATAAGGGGAGGCTTGGGAAGAATGAACTTTTTTTCTTCTTTTTGGCCAGTTAGTTGAAAAATTAAACTCAATTTTTTTTTAATTTCTTCAGCCGCACTTTTCTCTTTGTAGAGGATCAATTCTCCGGTCTCATCCACTTGTTTGAGAGTTATTTTCTGCTTGTTGACCTGGCACAGACCACAAAGAATATAGAGTTTTTTCTTTTCAAATTGTTTAAT